CAGTCGCCTAACCAACTGAGCCACCCAGGCGCCCCGGAAATAAAGGCTTTAAATGACACACTGGACCAAATGGACTTCACAGATATATTCAGAACATTCCATCCCCAAGCAACAGAATACACATTCTTCTCTAGTGCCCATGGAACATTCTCCAGAATAGATCACATCATAGGTCATAAATCAGGTCTCAACCGGTACCAAAAGAGGGATCATTCTGTGCATATTTTCAGACCACAATGCTTTGAAACTAGAACTCAATCACAAGAGGGAAGTCGGAAAGAACCCAAATACATGGAGGCTAAAGAGCATCCTACTAAAGAATGAATGGGTCAACCAGGAAATTAAAGAAGAATTTTTAAAAATTCATGGAAACAAATGAAAATGAAAACACAACTGTTCAAAATCTTTGGGATGCAGCAAAGGCAGTCCTGAGAGGAAAGTATATAGCAATATAAGCCTTTCTCAAGAAATAAGAAAAGTCTCAAATACACAACCTAACCCTACACCTAAAGGAGCTGGAGAAAGAACAGCAAATAAAGCCTAAACCCAGCAGGAGAAGAGAAATAATAAAGATCAGAGCAGAAATCAATGAAATAGAAACCAAAAGAACCGTAGAACAGATCAATGAAACTAGGAGCTGGTTCTTTAAAAGAATTAACAAGATTGATAAACCCCTGGCCAGACTTATCAAAAAGAAAAGAGAAATGACCCAAATAAATAAAATCATGAATGAAAGAGGAGAGATCACAACCAACACCAAAGAAATACAATTTAAAAACATATTATGAACAACTATATACCAGGAAATCAGATAATCTGGAAGAAATGGATGCACTCCTAGAGATGTATCAACTACCAAAACTGAACCAGGAAGAAATAGAAAACCTGAACAGACCTATAACCACTAAGGAAATTGAAGCAGTCATCAAAAATCTCCCAACAAACAAAAGCCCAGGGCCAGATGGCTTCCCAGGGGAATTCTATCAAACATTTAAAGAGGAATTAATACCTATTCTTCTCAAACTGTTCCAAAAAATAGAAGTGGAAGGAAAACTTCCAAACTCGTTTTATGAGGCCACCATTATTACCTTGATCCCAAAACCAGACAAAGACCCCATCAAAAAGGAGAATTACAGACCAATACCCTTGATGAACATGGACACAAAAATTCTCACCAATATACTAGCCAATAGGATCCAACAGTACATTAAAAGGATTATTCACCACAACCAAGTGGGATTTATCCGTGGGCTGCAAGGTTGGTTCAACATCCACAAATCGATCAATGTGACCCAATACATTAATTAAAGAAAGAACAAGAACCACAGGATCCTCTCAATAGATGCAGAAAAAGCATTTGACAAACTACGGCATCCTTTCTTGATCAAAACTCTTCAGAATACAGGGATAGAGGGTACATACCTCAATATCATAAAAGCCATCTATGAAAAACCCACAGCGAATATCATTCTCAATGGGGAAAAACTGAGAGCTTTCCCACTAGGGTCAGGAACACAGCAGGAATGTCCACTATCACCACTGCTATTCAACATAGTACTAGAAGTCCTAGCCACAGCAATCAGACAACAAAAAGAAATAAAAGGTATCCAAATCGGCAAAGAAGTCAAACTCTCACTCTTAGCAGATGATATGATACTTTATGTAGAAAACCCAAAAGACTCCACCCCAAAACTGCTAGGACTCATACAGGAATTCAGGAAAGTGGAAGGATATAAAAATCAATGCACAGAAATCAGTGGCATTCCTATACACCAACAACAAGACAGAAGAAAGAGAAATTAAGGAGTCGATCCCATTTACAATTGCACCCAAAACCATAAGATACCTAGGATTAATCTAACCAAAGAGGCAAAGAATCTGTACTCAGAAAACTTATAAAATACTCATGAAAGAAACTGAGGAAGACACAAAGAAATGTAAAAACATTCCATGCTCATGGATTGGAAGAACAAATACTGTGAAGATGTCAATGCTACCTAGAGCAATCTACACATTCAATGCAATCCCTATCAAAATACCATTCACTTTTTTCAAAGAAATGGAACAAATAATCCTAAAATTTGTATGGAACCAGAAAAGACCCGGAATAGCCAGAGGAATGTTGAAAAAAAAAAGCAAAGCTGGCGGCATCACAATTCCGGACTTCAGGTTCTATTACAAAGCTGTCATCATCAAGACAGTATGGTACTGGCACAAAAACAGACACATAGATCAATGGAACAGAATAGAGAGCCCAGAAATGGACCCTCAACTCTACGGTCAACTAATCTTCAACAAAGCAGGAAAGAATGTCCAGTGGAAAAAAGACAGTCTCTTCAACAAATGGTGTTGGGAAAATTGGACAGCCACATGCAGAAGAATGAAACTGGACCATTTCCTTACACCACACACACAAATAGACTCAAAATGGTTGAAAGACCTAAACGTGAGACAGGAGTCCATCAAAATCCTAAAGGAGAACACAGGCAGCAACCTCTTCGACCTCAGCCACAGCAGCTTCTTCCTAGAAACATCGCCAAAGGCAAGGGACGCAAGGGCAAAATGAACTATTGGGACTTCATCAAGATAAAAAGCTTTTGCACAGCAAAAGAAACAGTCAACAAAACCAAAAGACAACGGACAGAATGGGAGAAGATATTTGCAAATGACCTATCAGATAAAGGGCTGGTATCCAAAATCTATAAAGAACTTCTTAAACTCAATACCCAAAGAACAAATGATCCAATCAAGAAATGGGCAGAAGACATGAACAGACATTTTTCCAAAGAAGACATCCAAATAGCCAACAGACACATGAAAATATGCTCTATATCACTAATCAGAGAAATGCAAATCAAAACTGCAACAAGACAACACTTTACACCTACCAAATTGGCTAGCATCAAAGAGACAAGAGAGGCTCCTGGGAGGCTCAGTCGGTTAAGCGTCTGACTACAACTCAGGTCATGATCCCAAAGTCCTGGGATCAAGCCTCAGGCCAGGCTCTCTGCTCAGCAGAAGAGTCTGCTTCTCCCTCTCCCTTTGCCCCATCCCCACTTGTGCTCGCTCACTCTCAAATAAATAAAATCTTAAAAAAAAAAAAGGAGACAAGAAATAACAAGTGTTGGTGTGGAAGTAGAGAAAAAGGGATCTTCATGCACTGTTGGTGGAAATGCAAATTGGTGCAACCACTGAGGAAAACAATATGGAGGTACCCCCCAAAATTGAAAATGACCCAGTAATTCCACTACTACTGAGTATTTACCCAAAGAAAATAAACATACACATACACAAAAGAAAACAAAAACACTCTTTGAAAAGATGTATGCACACCTATGTTTATAACATTACTTACAATAGCCAAGATATAGAAGCAACCTAATTTTCCTCTGACAGATGGATAAAGAAAATGTGATACACATGTACAATGGAATATTACCCAACTATAAAAAAGAATGAGATCTTGTCATTTGGAACAACATGGATGGACCTGGATTCATGGCTAAATAAGTCAGACATAGAAAGATAAATACTGTATGATTTTGCTTATATGTAGAATCTAAAAAGCAAAACAAACGAACAAAGCAGAAACAAAATGAGAACAAACTGGTAGTTGCCCAGGGGAAGGGGATTAGGGGATGAGCAAAATGGATGAGGGGAGTACATGGTACAGGCTTCTAGTTATGGAATGAAAAAATCATGGGATGAAATGTACAGCATAGGGAATATAGTCAATGGTATTGTTATGGTATTGTTATAGTGTTGTATGGTGAGAGGTGGTAGTAGCTACAATTATGGTGAGCATAGCATAATGTACACCTGAAACTAATGTAACATTATGTATCAACTACACTTCAATTAAAAGACATTCAATTAAAAACCCCTGTGGTATAGGGGTGTGTGGGGGGGGGGGAACACATTATTTTAATTTGTACTTCCACCCAACCCAAAATAATTCTTAAGTACATAAAAATTTTCTCAAAACTATATGATATTTCTTAGATGCTGTCAAAGATAAACATTAATGATATAAGTAGTCAATTACTGTCAACAGACAATGCTTAAAAATTGTTTGCTTTAAAAAAATTGTTGGGGTGCCTGGGTGGCTCAGTCAGTCAAACGTCCAACTCTTAATTTCAGCACAAGTCAGGATCTTGAGGTCCTGGGATTAAGCCCTGTATGGGGCTCCATGCTCAGCAGAGAGTCTGCTTAAGGTTCTCTCTCCTCTCCCTCTCTCTCTCTGCCCCTCCCCCAGCTCTCTCTCTCTCTCTCAAATAAAGAAATCTTTTAAAAAAAATTGTTTTTTATCTCCATGGCCATGTGTACATGTAGTTATTATAATTTTATGGAATATAAATGGAGTTTACATTTCTAATCAATCTAAAGTCAGAGTAACTAAGTATATAATTTTATGCAAAAATCACAGTTCATAGAGTATATTATAGTATATCATCATCTTCCTCAGAGAGTTATCATGACTGCCATGGTTTCCCCCTTCTTATTTAACAACTTCTCTACAGATATCTATACTCTCAGAATTTCAGAGGCTTCCATAGTAGTTTGTACGTTTGGATTCAATAATTCTTCATTAAGCGTTAAAAAAAAAAATAGCCACAAATTTCCTGGACTCTGGGTATAATCTCTCTAGTATGCTGTGACCAAGCTTCCAAACACAAAAATATTTTAAGATTCTATAAATTTAGTACTTAATAATTTAACTTATACTACTATTAGAAATACTATCAGAAAATCTTTTAATAAAATAATCTCTTAAAAATAGATTTCTTGGGGCGCCTGGGTGGCTCAGTAGTTAAGTGGCTGCCTTCAGCTCAGGTCATGGTCCCAGGGTCCTGGGATCGAGCCCCGCATCAGGCTCCCTGCTCCACGGTAGGCCTGCTTCTCCCTCTCCCACTCCCCCTGCTTGTGTTCCCTCTCTCGCTGTGTCTCTGTCAAATAAATAAAATCTTAAAAAAAAAAAAAAGATTTCTTTTGCAGATTACCTTGCCTGCTGTATCAGGATGATTAGTCTTGATTTCATATTCCAGCCTGTATTGTATGTAATCCAGATCAGAGTCAGCTTTCTGGAACTAAAGATCAGCACAAATAATTTTTTTGTGAACCAAAAGACATATTAATAAACATGATACTGTTAACTATTCTTTCTTTTTTCCTCTTATTTTTTAGTATTTCAATAATGTGAAATACACTAATTTTGGAAATACAGAAATAAAAAACAGTATATAAAACTTCCATCATCTATAATACCCATGCTCTATAAAAACTTAAAAACTAGTTAACATTTTGAAAGTTGTTTCTCTATGCATCTCTCTTAGATTTAGAGCCAAAATTAAGACACCAGCAACCACTGTCACATATTAATACAAGAATTAACAATGGTTTCCAAAATTCCCAGGGTTGAAACTCTCATCAGTGAGGCAGCATTTTTCTACCTTTGGTAGGAAATGTTCAAGCTAAAACACAGAACAAATTTGTTTTCAGGGATACCTGCAATTTTACCATTATCTGCAACCCCATTAACCAATGAACTACAAGTATTTGCCACAAAGACCAAAATTAGAGACCTTAAAGTGACATAAATTATACGAGGAAAGCTACATATAGTACAGGAGTAGCAGTCTAAATTACCTGTTTACTGAACCTGGGTCCCAGCATGGGACCTTGACCTGCAGTAAACCCCAAAGGGATAAAAAAAGGGAAAAACGGCCACAGGCTGTAAAATGCACGTGTGCATACATACAGAAAAGTAGGGAAGGATATAGATCAGAGTGTTGAAAGTGGTGTATCTCTAAAAGTGGTATATAGTACTCTTGATTTTTGGAAATTCTGCATCTTTTACATAATCTTAAACGTGTGCTGCCTTGAATTTATCAGAGAAACAACCATGGTTCTTTGAGTTTACTATGGAAAGCAAAACAGGGTTTCCTCAGGGATGGTCTCCCATTCCTAGCCTACAACCAAGAAGACTGCTTTGGGGAAAGGGTTCAGACCTTACCATGGGCTTAGGCTATGAACTAACGATTAGTTCTTGAAACTTCGAAACCTTAGTGGAAAGAACAAAAGCCAGCAAAAACTGTTAAAAATAGTTACCAGGTCTAATGAGAAATGACATACAGATACTTTTGTTATAGAAAAGGTAAACCAAGAGTTCTACTTTGGAGGGTAGATTTAAAAAAAAATGACTCTCAGAAGTTAAAATGCTTTTAGGGTCAGAAGCTGTCAAATTGAACATAATATTAGAGATACACTAAAGCTTCTATCTCCAATAATTTCTCTCATTACTGGCCTAAATTAGAATGGAATACTTTCTGATTACCAAAATTCCATCTTTATAACCAAAAACTTGTGGAACAGAAATAGAAGAAAAAAAGAAAGTCAGTTTTGTTTTGTTTTTTAAAGATTTTATTTATTTATTCGACAGAGAGAGAGCACAAGTAGGCAGAGCAGCAGACAGAGGGAGAGGGAGAAGCAGACTCTCCAATGAGCAGGGAGCCCAACGTGGGGCTCCATCCCAGGACCCTGGGATCATGCCCTGAGCTGAAGGAAGCTGCTTAATCAACTGTGCCACCCAGGTGCCCCGAGTTTTTATTTTTAAATTTTTTCTAAGAATCTGTATCTGATTTGCATCTCTAACAGCAGAGTTGTTGTGAACCAGAAAAACAAATATAGAAGTTCTTAATTAAAAACAATACTTACAAACAAAACAAAACAAAAAAATGGTACTCAAAATGTTTTTCAGAAAAGGGCACCTGGGAGGCTGAGTCTGTTGAGTGTTCAACTCTTGGTTTCAGCTCAGGTCATGATCTCAGGGTCGTGGAATCCAGCCCTGAGTGGGGCTCCGAACTCGGCATGGATTCTTTCCCTATACACCCCCCTCTAAAAATAAAATAAATAAATAAAATAATTTTTAAAAAATGTTTCTCAAAAATGAAGGCCTTTCATTTGCTTGTTAATTGTTAGAGTAGATGCTATGATTAAATCATCTAATAATTAGACTTCATTAAGCAGATTAATAATTACTACATATGGGGATGCCTGAATGGCTCAGTCGGTTTAAGGTCTGACTTCCACTCAGGTCATGATCCAGGGTCTTGGGATCAAGCCCCACGTCGGGCTCCCTGCTCGGCAGGGGAGTCTGCTTCTCCCTCTCCCTCTGCCCCAGCTCGTGTGCTCTCTCTCTCTCTCACTCACTTACTCTCTCTCTCAAATAAGTAAATAAATAAAATCTTTAAAAAAAAATTAAGGGGTGCCTGGGTGGCTCAGTCAGTTAAGCGTCTGCCTTCAGCTCAGGTCATGATCCCAGGGTCCTGGGATGGAGTCCCGCATTGGCCTCCCCAGTGGGAAGTCTGCTTCTCCCTCTATCCTTCCCCCCTGCTCATGATCTCTCTCTCTCACTCTCTCTCAAATAAATACAATCTTTTTAAAAAGTTAAAAATTAAAAAAAAAATTACTACATATGTTTGTGTATGTATATAAAGAAAATTCCTGGGGCACCTGGCTGGCTCAGTCAGTAGAGCATGTGACTCTTGATCTCAAGGGTCCTGAGTTCAAGCCCCACATTGGGTGTGGAACTTACTTTAAAAAAAATTTTCTTTAATTAAAAAATTAAAAGAAAGAAAATTCCTGTTGGTATAATTTCCCATAATGGAATACGCTCAGGGATTAACATTTTCTTTACATAAAAAAGGCATACAAACCTATATTAACATTTGGATGGAGAGTATGGGGAAAGGGACAAGGGAAAGGGCAAATCAAATTATTAAAGACTATTCATTCAAGACCTGATTTGTTTGTTTTAATTATTGAAAAAGACTGCAATTCCATAGCTTTATATATAATTTAAAACATTATTTAACAGTCTAAAGCATAATTTTTTAAAAGATTTTATTTATTTATTTGATAGAGCGAGAGAGCACAAGCAGGGGGAACAGTAGAGGGAGAAGGAGAAGCAGGCTCCCTGCTGAGCAAGGAGCCCGATGTGGGGCTTGATCCCAGAACCCTGGGATCATGACCTGAGCCAAAGGCAGACGCTTAACCATCTGAGCCACCCAGGTGCCCTAAGCATAATTTTTTTAAAAAAGATATTATTTTTTAAGTAATCTCTGCAGCCTATGTGGGGCTCAAACTCAACACTGAGATCAAGAGTCATGTGTTCGGGGCACCTGGGTGGTTCAGTCGGTTGAGCATCTGACTCTTGATTTCAGCTCAGGTCATGATCTCAGGGTCATGGGATCCCCCTCCCCCCCCACCTTGGGCTCCATACTCAGGAGGGAGTCTGCTGAGATTCTCTCTCCCTCTCCCTCTGCCCCTCCCACCCTAAAATAAATAAATCTTAAAAAAAAAAATTTACAAAAATGGGCAGAAGAGGGGCATCTGGGTGACTCAGTCAGTTAAGGGTCTGCCTTTGGCTCACGTCATGATCCCAGGGTCCTGGAATCAAGCCCCGTGTCAGGTTCCCTGCTCAGCAAGGACTCTGCTTCTCCTTCCCCCTCCCCTCCCCCCCAACCCCTACTCATACTCTCTCTCATAAGTAAATAAAATCTTTTAAAAAAAATGGGCAAAAGACATGAACAGACATTTCTCCAAGGAAGACATATAGATGGCAAATTTAGACACATGAAAAGATGCTCAACATCACTCATCATCAGGAAAATGCAAATTAAAACCACAATGAGACATCACTCCATACCTGTCACAATGGCTAAAATAAAAAATTCAAGAAACAATAAGTGTTGGTGAAGATAGAGAGAAAAAGGAACCCTCGTGCACTGTTGGTGGGAATGCAAACTGGTACAGCCACTGTAGGAGACGGTATGGAGGTTCTTCAAAAAGTTAAAAATAGAACTACCCTACAATCCAGTAATTGCACCACTGAGTATTTATACAAAGAATACAAAAACACTAATTCAAGGGGATAGATTCATCCTATGTTTATTGCAGCATTATTTACAATAGTCAAACTATGAAAGCAGCCCAAATGTCCCTGGATAAATGAACTGATAAAGACTATGTGATATATGGGGCACCTGGGTGGCTCAGTCAGTTAAGCATCTGCATTCAGCTCAGGTCATGATCTCAGGGTCCTGGGATCAAGCCCTGTATCAGGCTCCCTGCTCAGCAGGGAGTCTGCTTCTCTCTCTCCCACTGCCCCTCCCCCCTGCTTGTGCTTTCTCTCTCTTTCAAATAAATGAATAAAATCTTTAAAAAAAGAATATGTGATATATATACATATATATTATATTTGGCCATAAAAAAGAATGAAAATTTGCCATTTCCAACAACATGGACAGAGCTAAAGAGTATAATGCTAAGTGAAATAAGCCAGTCAAAGGCAAATACCATATGATTTCACTCAGATGTGGAATTTAAGAAACAAAACAAATGAACAAATGGAAAAAAGAGAGAGAAACCAAAAAAACATAATCATAGAGAGCAAACAGATGGTTACAAGAAGGGAGGTGGGGGGAATGGGTGAAATAAGTGAAATAGATGAAGGGTATTAAGAGTACACTTTTATCCTGATGAACACTGAGTAAAACACGGAACTGCTGAATCACTATATTTTACACCTGCAAGTATTTAGCCTGTATGTTAACTACACTGGAATTAAAACAAACAAACAGAATCTGTATTCTAGAAGCCCTTGTTTATGAAACAGAAATTCTTAAACCCGTGTGTGTGTGTGTTTTTAAAGATTTTATTTATTTATTTGAGAGAGAGAGAGAAAGAGCAAGCACAAGTGGTGGGGGGGTGGACAAAGTGGGAGACGCAGAAGCCCACTGACCAGGGAGCCAGAGGAGGGGCTCAATCCCAGGACCTGAACAGAAGGCAGACACCCAACTGACTGAGCCACCCAGGAACCCCCATATGTGTTTTTTAATTTGATATTTTAGTTCTGATTAAAGTTTAACTACCATAATCCCAAAGACCATTTAACAATGTCTTCTTTTCAAGAGAGCTGTTTTAGCTATGGCTTCCTGTAATACCTGGAGGTCCACAATGTATTAAAATCATCAAACAGTATCAATAATAAGTGGTTCCTGCTTTTAAGTAAATTATATTTTAATAA